GGGAGGGACATCCTAAGATACAGTCTTGCTGTATTTTTACCAAGAAATATGGGGAGGGCTATCTGGGAAAAAATGAATTAGTCAGTATTCCCTGAATTGAAATCAACTGGAAAATTGAAGAGGGAACATAACCCTTTTGTGTTCAATCGAAAGAACTTTGTATTTCATTAGTCCCCAGCCCAGGCCATGTTCACTGTGAACAGTGGGGGACTAGAATTTGGAAGGCGGGTGGGGTGGGAGGGAAAAATTAAAAAATATATATTATTTTTGGGGGTGGGGAAACCAGTAACTGGCAAATGTCCAGCAAAGCTCAGTTTTGGTTCATTGTTTATCTCTCTGTACACAAAGATGTGATGGAAGGCTGATAACCGTGTTGATGTCAGAGGGCCGAAGTGATGACTGGTAAAATCCTGAGTTATTTTTAAAGAGAGAATTAGCTCAATAAAAGCTCACTGGGACAAGCTTGTTTTGCTGGATCATTTCTTTGTCTGGTGTGCGGGTTGGGTGTATGCTCCAAGAACTTTTCCAGGAAGAACGCAGAGGCTTGTTTGCAGGAGCTTGACGGCGGAGACGGGTTGCCCCACCCAGCTCCCGAGTCCTGCTTGTGCCCAGGCAGCCTGGTCCCAACAGATGTGGGGCCGAGACTGCCTGACTCTCCGACTCGTCTCTCTGGAGGGGCTCAGCCAGGGCAGGTTGCCACTGGGAGCAGCAGATTTGCAGAGGAGTAGAAGAATCCGTAGGAAGTGAGGGGTGCCACCCTGGGCGGGGGTGGGTCATTGTACTGAGGCATGGCCACTGTGTCTTGCTGAGGACGAACCAGCAGAAGGATTAGTGAGATGTGCTGGCATGGACAGGAAAACAAGTTGGCACAAGCCAGCAAGCTGTATGCCTGGCACCACCCACTGCAGGCCTTTCACTTTGTGGGCATAGTCCGTGGAACATAGCAAGGGTTGAACATCTGAGCATGTTCGCAGATGCACCTCCCCATCCTGCTGCAGGAGGCAGATTAGTGGCCCTGGGAACTTCCCCCTTCTGACTAGCAATAGTTCACAGAGTTTTGCTCAGGCTTGTCAGTTTGTGGACTTTGTGTAGAGGAAGCCTGGAGACGTCCTGTCAGAGCAGTCCACGGGAGCAAGCGATCATTGTAGTGCTTCTGCTGCCCTTGTGCCCAGGATGCCTGTCCCAGTCTGGCCAGTGATGCTGCTTTTATCCCTCTGCAAAGCTGTGTCAGGGCAGCAGGCAGGGTCGGGCGACTTTCTGTCTCCCTGTGACAGGTGAGTGAGCTGTTGGGAGGCAAGGGAGGAAACCAGAGGCCTGCTCAGTAGCTGCCCAGGAAGGAGGACACTGGGCCATCTCGGCATGGTCTTACATCCCTGGTATGTAAGAGGTCCAAGGTGGCGTGGACCCCTAGCGCCAGGCTAGGAGTTGGGGCACCCCATTCAAATTGGCTGGGCCACGGGCTCATCAAGTACACTTGTGCTTGTGCGTCTCCCAGGCTCCTTGGAAAAATAAAATTGGTTGTGGGTGGCCCTGAGGCATAAAATCAGCTGAAAAATCCTGGGGTGCATCTGTTGGAAGGGAGGGTGAGTAGTAAAGGGGTGGTTATTTGGGCAAGGGCTGGGCAGGTCCAAGGCCCGTGTGCTGCCGACATTGGTGGCCAAGTAAGCAAAAGCTGTGCAGCGATGCTGCTTTGGCTCTGCTCAGCAGATGGCTGGTCTCTCCAGTTGACGTGGGGAGGGGTGTAGAGACAGCAGATTCTGAGAGTGATCAGAGGAGCCCTGCAGATTCATGGCCTCGGCCTTCATTGGTCTCCCTGACCACGGCCCTTCAGCTGTTCTGGGAGGGGGGCATGGCTCAGCAGCTTGGTGGGGGGTTGCATTTCCTTCAGTCCCGTTTGGGAAGCACAGATTTTGGAAGCGGTGTGGCCATCTGTGAGGCCAGCCCTCCAGCCCCTCCCCGTCCCCTTTCAAAGCAGGAGGATAGAGTGGCTGGCCAGCCCGTCCTCTCCCAACGGGCTCCCTCCTCCTCTGCTCTGTGCCTTCCCAGCCAGATCTACTGCACGGGACCGCTTCTCCAGCAGGTCCAGCAGGCCCAGCTGTTTGAGGATGACAAGCATTTTGTGGACATGCCACTGAAGGACAGCCCGGGTAAGTCACCCGGCCGGCCTGCCACCAGCCCCTTTCCTCTGCCAAGGGATCCCCTCGGGCTCGTGGCCTTTTTTAGTGTGCTGCCCGCCTCTCCCACCGCTGGGGTAGCCAGCATTTCTCTGATCGGCTTGCAAACTCCCAGGGTCTCTGGCTTTTTGTAACTAGTCGGACCTCCTTGGTGGGTTGTGCTGCTTTTAGCTGTCCTCCAGGATCCTTGCTTGGCCTGGCACTGAGTGGGGGCACAGGACAAGGCATGGGGAAGAGCCTGGGTTTTGTGTTGAGCCGGGGGGGGAGCAGGGCACAGCTCTGCCCAGAGGGACACTCCTGCTTCCAACCAGTGCCATGGTGGGCCTCACCAACCTGCCGCCCCCACTGCCATCCACTTTGGTAGGTGTGGCAGGTCCATTGCTCCAAGCCAAAAGTGTGTGTGTGTGTTGATAACCCAGGCCTTGGCAGGGGTGGTAGGTGAGTGAGACTCACACCAGGGCCTGTAAAGCTCTCCATCCCCAGCAACCTAGGTCACCGCAGTGGTGGCTTGGTGAGGTTTGGCCTTTGCACTGACAGCTGTTTACATCTTTCCAGATGTGGTTCTGGCACAGTTCTGGGTGCAGGCGAATGCAACGGCTGGTGGAGCCTTGTCCAAACAGCAGCTGGCAGCGTTTGTGGACACCCACTTCTCTCCCCCAGGAGAGGAGCTTGAGAGCTGGGTGCCTGCAGACTGGACACCCAGGTACTCCTCCCATCCCTGCTTCTGGTCCTTCCTCTCCCCCTTTCTCTGCAACACCAGGCCGTGGGGATGGGAGGGTGCTTAACAGCTGGAGAGAGCCTTGGGCTGGCACTCTTCCTGACCTTAGCCTGAAAGATGGGGCCCTTGGAGTTGGGTGCTCCAAAAAGCCAGTTAGTGGGGGAAACAGCTCAAGGAATGGCCGGGGAACCCACATCTTGCCAGCTCTCCAGCCATCACACAGGCTGGTGGACCTCCTTCTGGGCCCAGTGCCAAGAGCTGGTTCTGACCGATGAAGACCTGGAATGTCTTGGGACCCGGTTCATTGTAGGACAACCTGATCCATCTGGACCCTGCCTAAGCGCTCAGACTTGGACCTCTGCCCAAGGTCATTGATAAGAGCATCTGAAGTACCGGCCTGGATCTGACCAAAGGCCAAC